TATATAATTATTTTTTTTTACATGAGAACTCTGCTTTACAGTTGCAGTCAGATGTAGTCCTGTCGTGCACAGGTCTATCTAGTCTGATGCATACGCATTCCTTCTCTGATATTATGGCACATCTGGCAAACCTTCCTTTGACAGCAGATTCACATAGGAATCAATTCAGTGCAGGGTAAAAGAACAACCCTCTCGCTCTCTCTCTGTGTTGTGTCTTTCACTACCTGTGTCTTTGGAGGGCGTAATGAAGCACGTAAAAACTAATAAATCAACATTTTGGGGTACAGCAGATGCAATCTTTCATTGTATAGAGAAGAGCATTCCACATAGCATCTCCTTTTTTTTGTCAGATGGGTTTGAAATAACATTAGGGGGAGCAAATGAAGGCAACATTTTCAGTTTCCTTTAAGCACTTATTTTTTTCTTTTTCTTTTACGAGAACTCTGCTTTACAGTTGCAGTCAGGTGTAGTCCTGTCATGCACTGATCTATCTAGGTTGATGCATATGCATTCCTTCACTGGTGTTATGGCGCATCTGACAAACCTGCCTTTGACAGCAGATTCACACAGGAATCAATTCAGCACAGGGTAACAGAACAACCCTCTCGTTCTCTCTCTGTGTTGTGTCTTTCACTACCTGTGTCTTTGGAGGGTGTAATGAAGCACGTTGTGACAGTCTCCTCCTGTGACTGAGCTCAAGGCGGGTAATATACAGGCAGGCTGTGGAAGCACCTCATCAACACCACCTCACACTGCTCCTAGGGGAAATAAGTTACTCTCAGCTTGTCTCCCTCCAGAGCTGTCACCAACTCACCATCTTTTATTGTGATTTCCTCTTATACAGAGAAATCAAATCTGGATGTGCAGGGAGGAGGTGGGGCTGGGCGGTGAACGGGGGCGTGGGGCAGACTCAGGGTTTTTTGATTGGCAACTTGCTCATAAAGATGGATAAATGTAAGCGGTAATGGTACATCCAGACTCCGTCTTTGGGCTGCCTGTGAGCGTCAGATTATGCAGAAATCTAGAGCGAGAGTGTCTGAGGTCTCCCTCCAACAAGCAGCTCCTGTAGGATCCATGTTTTTGTTGTTTTGTCTCCTTGCTTCATAACCATCTCTTATTGTGATTTCCTCTTATACAGAGAAATCAAATCTGGATGTGCAGGGAGGAGGTGGGGCTGGGCGGTGAACGGGGGCGTGGGGCAGACTCAGGGTTTTTTGATTGGCAACTTGCTCATAAAGATGGATAAATGTAAGCGGTAATGGTACATCCAGACTCTGTCTTTGGGCTGCCTGTGAGCGTCAGATTATGCAGAAATCTAGAGCGAGAGTGTCTGAGGTCTCCCTCCAACAAGCAGCTCCTGTAGGATCCATGTTTTTGTTGTTTTGTCTCCTTGCTTCATCCTTTCCTCCTCCTCCTCGTTGTCTTTTAACTGAAATGTCATCTCACTCCAGCACCAAACCGGTTATATTGTTGCTGTTATTACACTTAAATGTAATTATAGGTGAACGGCAGAATCGGACATTTATTTGTTACAATATTTGTAGCAAAATTTCTGTTTACAGCGTTAACACAATTGAATGGGTAACTTCTTAATTTTGTTTATGGGCTTTTTTTGTAACTGTGCCACGGCTCAGACTTTTTTAACCTTGTTTCTGGTTTTATTGTGAGTGATTCATCAGTGTGCAGTATTATAAGTAATAAAAAATAATAAATAAATAATGATTTAGTTAGGTTGAATCAAAATGCAGTAACTTGCTGTACCTTTTGTGCTTTAGGCCAAGCTAAATAGCTATTTAGTCATCAAATTAATACAATAACCAGTTTCATTCTGAAATATTTCATATTCCAAAAGCAATATTTGTGTGTTTTGTGATAACTAAGGCTGTTTAACCTTATGTTGTTCTTTCTCCATTTCAGATGAGCTCAGTCAAGATGCTGCGTCCCCGACTGAATGGGATCCTCTTCAAGCTGACGTTTGAGGAGCAGGTGAACAACATCCGGCCCGACATCATGAACGTGACATTCGCATGCGAGGAGGTGAAGAAGAGCGAAGGTTTCAGCATGATTCTGGAGCTGGTGCTGCTGGTCGGAAATTACATGAACTCTGGCTCCAGAAACGCTCAGACATTCGGCTTCAATATCAGCTTCCTCTGCAAGGTACCAAACAGAATCCCTTCTATTTTTTTCTGAAACTACACCTTATGTGCTTAAATTCCAATTAGAAGTTCTATATTGCGTTCATAATAACATCCTGGAGAACTTTGATTACCTCATGGATCATCCCACAAGGGGTTTGAACCTACAATCTTTTGGGCACCAGACCAGAAAGCTTCAACTTTACTACTTGCCATTTAGCAGATACTTTTATCTAAAGCAACTTGGAGTACTCATCTTACAGGCACAGTAACCCTGGAGTAACACAGTGGTGATGGATCATGGATCATTCCTTGTGGGTCTGGAACCTACAACCTTCTGGGTACAAACCCAGAACTACTGAGCAAGGCACATGCATACTTAACCTCAGGTTCAAAGCATCTGCTAAATGACAAATAGAAAAGTAGAAACCTGTTTAAGCAGCAGATTTACATCAAGCTGAAATTGTCTTAAAAAATTATGCCTGTTAGGTGCAATAGCCATCTTGGATTTAGTGATTGGTGACAGTTATAGACAAACTTGATAGTTCCACCCCAAAAGACATTATTCTTCATAATATTATCTACTCTAATACGGCAAGTGTGTGTTTCTGTGTTTATTTATAGAGCTGGCAGGTATGCCTCCCTACTGAGATCATTGTAACTGTTACCAGAATGTGTATGAAAGCTGTAACTGCTGTTGTTGTGTATGTAAGACGGACATCTGGCTGTGTGTTTTACAAGCTGATTTGGATGGCGAAGCCATTTGGTCCCACTATGAAAGACAGCCACCCCCCCCTGCCGGTGTTCTCAGGCAGCCAGAACTACACCGTCACTCTTAGTTACATCTCTTTGCTGGCCTCGTCATCTATTCAGAGGCGTACCAGATGCTGCTGGGACACAGGTGTCCCAACCACAGGGGTTTAAACTGGAGCCAGTTGTGGCATATCTGAATGGTTGTTCTTTTTTCTATTTACTTTTGAGCACAGTCAAACCTGTTTCCAAAGGCCACCGAATTACAGTTTAACACTAGGAAATAATTTTTCAAAAAAGCTGTGGCAGTTGCATTTGAGAGTTTTATAGTGTGATTTTTAATCAAGGTTCGCTTTTACGCCACTCTCTAAAACACCTCAGTTACCACCACAAGCTTGTGCTCATAAACATACGAGCCCTTGATGAACATCTCGCTTTCTCTTAAAGTGTGTTTGCATGCAAATTGTCACTTGATTAAAAATGAGGATGAAGTATACGTTGTCAAAAACTGCATGCACATGCATTTTCATGAGGAAGTCCTTCACCTCTTTCTGTCAGCTCCTCTGTTATATTTTTGTTCATCACTGCACTTAAGTAGTTCCAGCGTCCTTGGTTGGCATTTGAGTGGGCTTAATGCCATACCAGTTGGAGTTTTCTCATTGAGATGTTTAAGTATAGGGGGTTCGGAGGTGACATGGACATTAGGTGGCTGTGTTTTTCTCTCTGTCTCTCTCTCTCTTTTTCATGCTTGTGTTGGATTGTGTTATGGCCCAGAGGGAGGACACCACTGATGGGTGACCCTGCCCCAAGCATGGGCAGTTGAGCAGGAGAGGATCCAGTGGCCATCAGAGCTCGACGCTTGGCGGTATTTTCTCTGACCTTCAGTATAAAGCATGTCCTTGGGTCTCGCAGTAGTGGACTAACACACTGAGCAGAGTCGTCAGGTGCCAGCAGGGTAGACATCTATATAGCTCTTATCAGCTGTGCTCTGACTCCACATTGTGCACCATAAAACAGTTTTTAAACAAGTTAAGCATAATGATAGCATCTTTATATGTTGAGACAGACATGTTGGGTCCATCCTTCCTGATGTAACAGCTGTCTTCATTCATTCATTCATTCATTCATTCATTCATTCATTCATTCATTCATTCTTTCTTTCTTTCTTTCATTCATTCATTCATTCATTCATTCATTCATTCATTCATTCATTCATTCATTCATTCATTCATTCATTCATTCATTCATTCATTCATTCTTTCTTTCTTTCTTTCTTTCTTTCTTTCTTTC